GGGCAGTGTGGGGATGATTGGACTTCAGTTTCGGGTATATTAACATCAAGGCTTGTTCAGCAGTTTCCCTCTGGTGCTAACCCAACTTTTCATTCTCCTGGGGATGAGGAAAGCCACACATGGTGTTTGAGTTTAAAAATTGTGAAAGGCACTTCCATTCGCTACAGCAGGAAGAATGAGGGGCAAATGGCGCTAGATCTAGGTCAGGGCATGGGGAAGCAAAAGGTCTGGGCGAATAGACCTAGATCTAGGTCAGGGCATGGGGAAGCAAAAGGGGAAAAGGGGATGTTTCTTTGACTTTACCTGTTATGTGATTAAGAACAGATAAAATTAATAAATCACTGTCTCTTACACGAGCCATGTTTTATGACTTTGGATAGTTTAGCTTAGTTTTGTTTTGTTTTCATAAACTCTCAAGTCCATACACATGGGGTTAGAATTTAAATCTAAAAAGTGCTAATGTGCACATTTAAGGGAACCGTTAGGAAGTCTGGTGATGCCGATAGCGAAGCCACGGGAGAAAGGACATCATGTGACAATCAGTGCACCCTCCGAATTGGGACCTTATCTTCACCTCGCTCACTGGGCTGATGAGCTTTTTTTTTTTTAATTTTATTTTATTATGTTATGTTAATCACCATACATCACATCATTAGTTTTTGATGTAGTGTTCCATGATTCATTGTTTGCGTAGAACACCCAGTGCTCCATGCAGAATGTGCCCTCTTTAATACCCATCACCAGGCTAACCCACCCCCCCCACCCCCCTCACCTCTAGAACCCTCAGTTTGTTTCTCAGAGTCCATAGTCTCTCATGGTTCTGATGAGCTTTATTTAAGTTGTTGCTAACACTCCGGAACAGACACAGTATACTACTTCACTGGGGCTGGAGAAACAAAACCCCCAGTCATTTGCATTGTAGTTTTTATTTAGTGAAAGCTGCTGGTTTTCTTAATGGGAGAATCCTATTCCTGAATTCGTATTTCCATTCTCAAAGAAGAACTTTGCATTATTCTGTTTTCATAGCCCATGAGCCTCAAACATAGACTTTCTTCCCCAGCCACATACCTTCCACCACCAGGCATCTTTTGCTCGCTTCCCCACTGTTCCGGGATGTGGTCTCCCGCGTTTCCTTCCAGGCAAAAATGCGGTTTTGCCTCCCTCCTGAAGTTTTCCGTGAGGACCACGTCCTCATTGGCTTTGACATTTTAAAGGGTTAAAATAACAACAACAAATCCCAGTTCAGTGCTTACCTTGATACAAGATCCTTTGCTAAAGATAAAATATAATTTCCCAGTACCCTCAGAGGTTTGGGTGATTTTATTACTCAAATTTGGGATATGAGCTCGTGGAAACTTGGAGAGGTCAGGATACTTGACCATGATTCCAGCATATGAGGGAACTGGAGGAGACTCTGTCTTCCCTACCTCTCTCCCACCCCACCTCGAGGAGGGCTCCAGGAAGCACATCCACATTTCCCCAAATGTGGGGTGATTTTAGTGATAGAGGCATAACTAAATGAATGTGACTCGCACAGCAATGAAGTCTTTTTCTTCCCAATTACCTTTTTGACCCTTTTGATTAAATTATAGAAAAAACATTTCAGTGGGGTGCTAGCACATCTAAAACACATCTTCTAACACTTTTCTAATTTGCCTGTGTTACTAACAAGTGAGCACATGTCCCGTTCAGATCTTTGACAAGAGGACCTAGACAGAGTTCAATAACATGTTTTGTTTTCATTGCATTCATTTTCACATCTGCCTTCAATGTATGGTGGAGCATACCAGCTTATGATTATTGATTTGGTGGCTCATGGACAATACATTTGTTAAAGGGAGGAGAAACCTGAGTTGATTTTAAAAGTATTAAATAGGCAGCACAAAGATTTGACGACCGAAAGTTGTGCAAGAATGACTTGACATTCTGCAGAGCTGCCGCATGCTCGGCGGCCTGAGTAGAACAGTGATGCATCATGTAGGGTCTTACACTGATTTCTCTTTCACACCCCACTGGTCTCAGGAAAGGACAGGACAGCCATCCCATTAGCAGGCAGCCCAGATTGCCTGGTCTCCAGCTAACACACACACACACACACACACACACACACGGACATACACACTGGCAGGGTCACCTGCCACCGTGTCTCAAGCTGAGATCCACTAGGCTGTGGCACCAGTGACTGGAATGGGCTAGACCACACAGACCACAGGCGGGGGGTGTACTCTCTGCTTCGACCTGAATACCGTCTGTGGCGAAGCAGCAGCTCCCCTGAACCCAGAAGCTGCCTTACGTGTATAACCTCTCTACCACTAACCCGTAAGTTCGGTGCTCCCTCGACCCCTTGTGTTTGGTCTATTTCAGTGCTTCTCACCTGGAGACATTTTGCCACCTCAGGGACATTTATCAATGTCCAGAGAGAATTTGGGTTGTCACAACTTGAGGATACTACTGGCAGCCAGTGGATAGACACCAGAGATGCCGCTCAACATCCTACAACACACAGGACGTTCCTACAGCCAAGAGTGATCTGGCCATACAATATTGCCAATGTGCCAGTGTAGAGAGCCCCTGTTCTAAGTTACAAGCTCCTAACAGACCTTTTCCCAAATTTTTCTTCAAGCAGGAGCCACCAGATCCCATGTGCTTAAGCCTCTTTACTTCGTTCTGTATGTCTGTGTGTCTGTTTTTCTTACCATGGTGTCTCTGGCCCGCTGTAGCCACAGGGGGGAAAGGGTCACACTCCATTTGTTCACCTCACTTTCACGGACAAATCAACGTCACCGTTCTGCAATGCTCTGCTCCTAATTTTGTGTCTGTTCCGTGAGGTGCTTCTGATCGATTTCTCTCAAGTTTTTGGCTCCTGATTTTCTCTGTTACTATGTAACATCAATACCCACCCCTTTCCCCGACTATACTTTGCTTATCAGCTGCTTCTCTGACCACTAAGGCTCATTGTACCATGATGTTAGTCTCAAACCAATTCACTTATATAGATCTTACTTAGCCAAGTAAATTGTAAACTCCTGGAAGAAACATCCCAGGTCTTTACCTTTACATCCCTTGCTGCTCTTCTTATGATTTGCCTTATGTTTGTCTGACAAGTACCGTATTCTTTCAAATATTACGTAATCGTAAATGTGAAATGTAACATTGACTTAATAACCACTTTGCAGGGGTGGAGAGAAGAAAAGATTACCATAAATACACATGTTGAGTATAAGATACATCCTGCTTGTCACAGTGTCCAAAAATTCTAAACACACAGGGACGCACACACATGCCCACGCACAAAATACATCTTGACCGTGAGGCAATGTAGAACTGACTTGGATTCTGATCTCTTAAGTTCGCTTCTTAATACTGTCTGCCATGAGGTCATTTATTTTGGTTTTCATAATTGCAATCCCATTAGTATTTTTCTCATACAGGATGTTGGTGTGAAATGTCATTGGCAAAGAGAGGGAACAGTTTCCAAAGTTGGGCATTCGTGCCTCTGGGAACTGTTGCCCTCAGGTGGCAACTCTGCAGAATGAAGCCCCTGGAGCTCCAGGAGCATAGGCGGTCCCTCCTGCCACCGTCTCCCTGGTGTGCTGGGTCACTCAACTTTGTCTCACCTCAAGGCGTTCTGTGTGCAGTTCCTTGCCAGACTGTTCTTCCTGCTTTCTCTGCCAGAGCCCTGCCCTCCCCAGAGTGGCTCTATGAAACCTTAATTTAAATAAAACTTCCTCAAGGAAGCCAGGGTCAAGTTCTTCGTTATACCTTTGCCTACCACCACCTGCTATTTCACAAGCCATTCTACAGTTCTTTATTGAGTGCCAGATATAGGGCAAGCCATGGTGTAGGCACTGGTTGAGGAACTGTGAATAAATCAGGAACAAATCTCGTCTACATGGAGCTTACCTACCAGTGGAATAATGGACGTGAAGGTTTCCTTTGTGTACTCACAAATCCTGTCTAACACTTTCAGGACATTTAGGTGATGGTTACTATCCTATTTATTTTACAAATGGAAATGCAGGTGTAGAGAGGCTAATGTGTACCAGCTCGTAAAGCTGGCAAGGGGACAACCCAGCCAGGCAGTCTGGAATCCAGATTTGCTTCTTATTTCACTCTGCCTGATACAGACTTGTTATATGCAGGCATGAGTAAATTTCCCAGTGCTTTCTGAGCTCCTGATTGTCTTCTAGATTCTTGACTAAATTGCATAATCATCGTTTGGAGTGACAGTCTTATCATGTAGACAAAGTAATTCTGGGGAAATTCAACACTGTTAAGTGTATCTGTAATGGCCACCATGTTCTTATGTCTGAATCCTTATCTTCACAAAGGACGTAGGAAAGACCCAACTAAAACTCATTATTTTACCTTCTCTGGGCTCTGGGTTTCCATCTGCTGGCTTCTGTTAGCATAAGGCCATGAGGAAAGAGTGTTGGGACATTTGGGACCACTTTGGTTGCTGGAAAAGTGTCCAAGGTAAAAGTCAGTGGGTAAAGTGGAAAAAAAAAAAAAGGGATCCAGATTGATTTTGGAAATGAAAGAATCCTTAAAGCCTTTGTCTCTGAGGAAAGAACAGAATCTGGGAGTCATAGAATCCTTCTTCCACCTCTGTGCTGGATGACATAGTCTCTGATGAGCTTCTGATTCATGGGCAGTCATGAAAACACAGTTTTGCTCAGGTGCCCCTTTGAAAGTGGGAAGCCAGAGTACTGGGATTATACTAAGAATCAAGAAACAGCTTTATATTAATCTTTGCTTCTTGACCAAAAAAAAAAAAAAAAAAAATCAGCACTGTGTTAGCCTAGAATGAATGGTTTCCTGCCCATATTAACAACTAATTGGAAATTTTGTTTCTAGTTAACTTCGTTTAGTAAATGTGGACAAGAATCCTGAACTCATGTGAAATAAAGGGGTCTGGTTTCATGGAGTATTCTAGGTCCTCCATGCATGGAAGTTCTTGGAGCTGGATTTTCAAAAGCTTTTTGTTTTTGTTTTCACAGGATGTGTGAAACTGGGGAAGGGCTGTTTATCTTTCAAACGCGAGATGGGGAGGCCATCTACCAGAAGGTCCACTCTGCTGCCTTGGCAATAGCTGAGCAGCATGATCGCTTGCTCCAAAGCGTGAAAAATTCAATGGTACGTCTGGAATGTCTTCCTTATGACCCAGTGCATACCCGTGTAGAATGCAATCTTAGAATCTTTATGCTGAAAATATGGCCTGCATTATTTGAGCAGATGGCTTTCTCCTGTACTCCACAGTGTATTACTTGGATTTAATAACATCCTTGCAAAGCCTCAAGAGCCAGCTGGTAGCACAGTAACCAGACATCCCTGTTTATCTACTTTGTGCCTCGATTATTACTTGTGTGTGTCTTCATCAGTTTGGGCTCTTACAGCAAATACCATAGAACTGGGTGGCTTATCAACAATAGAAATTTATGTATTTCTCACTGGGAGGCCTGGAAGTCCAAGATCAAGGTGCTGGCCTACTCAGTGACTGGTGGCACCGCTTTCCTGTTCATAGATGGCTACCTTTTCTGTCTCACTGATGGATGGGGCAAGGGAGCCCTCTGGGGTCTCTTTCATGAGGGCACTAATCCCAATTGTCAGGGTTCTGCCCTCATGACATAATGTCCTCCCAAAGGCCCCACCTGCTAACCCCATGACCTTGGAGGTTAAAATTTCAATATATGAATTTGGGGAGGGGACATCATCATTAGTCCACTGTCATGAGTATGTTCATCAGAATCAATTTGGATGCATATGGATATCTGTGGACACAACTATGTAGATGATCTACCTACAGATATATATTTATAGCTGTACCAGACATTATCATTTCAGTTGGTAACGGGCCAGAGAGAAGAGGGGTGAGGGGTGAAATGTCAAAAGCCCAAGCCCGGAAGACTGTTGATGAGACCATGGGCTCCATGTACTGGGCTCTTGATTTTTTCCAGAGAAGCCAAGGATTTGAGTCTGTATATAATATCTTGTAGTTTGTAACTGTTGGAAATGAATTCTAGTTAAAACCAGCAACAAAACAGTAATACTTTGTGGGCCAAGGGAAACCTGTCCAGAGACTCCATCCTGCCCAGAGCCATGCATCTCCCATCTCTGGTTGATCAACCTTCATGGACATTGATATATAAAGACAGCACAAACACAAATACACATGAGTGTATAGCTCTCTGGGAATACCTCCGCTGTTCATTGCATTGTGCTAGGGACTGTGACTTGCACAGAGAGTTAGGATTGAAATCTTAACGCACAACAGTTAAATAATGCAAATCATGCATCATGGCTGCAAATACATGCATAAAGCTTCACATCTGGAAGGAAATCTGCAAAACCAAAAGGAACTGGGTTGGCATGGTAAGATTAGGGTAGTTTGAAAATTTATGATTTAAACATGTGGAGTGGTTGGATTTAAAGAGGGGGGAAAAACATGCCAGAAATATGATCTGTCCCAGAGCAGCCTCAGATTATTCCCAAATGACTTGTTCATGCAGTGGTCTGGGATTTTAGAGCAGAGATCAGCAAAACTTTCTGTAAAGGGCCAACCAGTAAATACTTTAGGCTTTGTGGAGTAAGATGGTCTCTGTTGCAACTACTTAACTCTGCCCCTTGTTGTGCAGAAGCAACCATAGGTAAAAACATAATCCAGTGGACATGACTTTGCTGCAAAGCAACTTTATTCATGGACACTGAAATTCAAATTTTGTGAAATTTTCACACATCATGAAATATTCTCTTGATTTTCTCCCCACCGATTTCAAAATATTTTTTTAACTAATGCAGTCTTGGTATTCATTTCCCCATATGCTTACCAATTCTGGATATTGCTATAGAGATGGATGGATGGATGGATGGATGGATGGATGGATGGATGGATGGATGGATGGATAGATAGGTAGGTAGATAGATAGGTAGGTAGGTAGGTAGGTAGATAGATAGATAGATAGATAGATAGATAGATAGATAGATAGATAGACAGACAGGCAGACAGATGGCTGTAAAGTAGAATTCAAGTCACTTGGAACTTTACAGGGCAATATGTCATTGCATTAAAATTGTTTAGCTGTCCCATTAGATGCCTTTAAGGATCTGAAGGAGTTTTTCCAAGATTACCTTACTGGTAAAGCCATCAATTAGCATAAGTTGTTTTGTGCTTGAAAGGCAGGTTCTATATGTACATGTTTTTCCATTTACAACCTCCTCATTACTTCCACTAAAAATTAATCAGGAATACGAGTAATTCATTTAGATTATCTCTTTGCAAATTTAACTGGAAAATAATGTTGTTTGCTCTTAATTTGCTCTATGCTTAACGAGTTCCATAAAATGAATATGATTTTTAAAGCAACAAAATCCTATTTTAAATGGAAATGAGTAAGCTTCAAAATGGGATCTGAATCTCAGGGACGTTAAGTGGGGATTATGAAATGCTGAAAATTAATGTACGTGAGTCAGTCCCCGATTTGGGGAGAAAAGAGATACCCCATGACAGTGAAGCAAATGAAGACAATCCTGCTGGCCCACCCTCCCAGGGTTACAGTACTGCGTTTTCCGGTAACTGGGAACGGATCCACGTAGATCTGGCTATATTCTCAACCTGGAATTGCATGTTCACCACTACTGGCTTCTCTGAGATAGTCAAGGTCATAAATGGAGAAAGATGGCGATGCTCATCTCTGGGCTTAGCCTCATTAGAAAGTCCTGGCCCACTGTTGGCTGCCTCTGTCATAAAACTCCGGAGACTGCCTCTACAGACAGATGCTTCCCCGTGGGGCCTGTATCAGTTTGAAGTTACAGCCTTAAGTGCATTGGGATCAGACTTGTGACCTGAACCCAGCAGCTGTAAAGAGGAGGCTTGTGGGTCCCGTCCCAGCAACAATGATAATAGTGATAGGATGAATCTTGGCTCCAAAGATGTGTCCTAATCCCTGGAACCTATGAATGTGTCCTTACGTGGCGAAAGGGATTTTGCAGATGTGATCAAGTTAAGGCTCTTGAGATGGGGAGATTATCCTAGATCATCCAGGTGAGCCAGTGTTACCACAAGGGTCCTTGTGAGAGGGAAACAGGAGGAGTAAGAGTCAGAGGGTGATGTGATAGTGGAAACAGAGGGACAGAGAGGGAGATGTGAAGTTTGTATGCTGATGGCTTTGAAGGTAGAAGAGAGAGATGTGACCCAAAGGATGTGGGTGCCCCTAAATGCTGGAGAAGGTAAACATTCTCCCCTGGAACCTCCAGAAGAACCCAGCCCGGCCAACACCTTGACTTCAGCTCGGTGAACTGACTTTGGACATCTGGCCCCCAGAGCTGTAAGAGGACACATTTAGGTTGTTTTAAGCCCCCGAGTCCTGGTAATTTGTTACCACAGCCGTAGGAAGCGAGTACAATAATGATATCCATAACACTAAATATGTATCTTGTCTCTACTCTGTAACAAGTAATATTTTTAGGGCTTTCTAACCCTACGACCACTGCTGAATGGGAGACCCAAGGCCACCAGCTTGGAAGTTATGGGACTCAAATTTGGAGGAGGTGTCCTGGGGTAGCCCCCACTTTTCTCCTCACAACCTGTTTTCTTTGTCCTTCATGAGATTAGCTTGCTGTTCTAAAAATACCGAATTAGTGACCGGCATTTAAAAATTGAGAGGTTTCACATAAAACTCAGATTTCTGTGCTATCTTTAAAAAGTGAAAAGGTCTGACAGCAATGATCTCACACCCCCACAAGGCAACAACAATCAGATACGCCCAGTCCTGTCTGCCCTCTTTGGACAGATTGGGGGGCTTCACTTCCCCACAGTCCCTACCTCCCCCTTTTGTTACTCTCCGCAAGTGGTCCTTCTCTGCGTGTTGGCTACCCATGCTGTGGACAATCAATGTCTGGCCTGTTGTTTTCAACATCTATGCACCATAACACAACACACATTTGCCATCTCATAGTTGCTCTGGGCCAGGAGTGTTGGTGTGGCTTAAGTTTCTCACAAAGCTCAGATGCCTCAGGCGCATCTCAGGGTTAGACTGGGGAAGGATCTACTCATGAGCGAGCGGGGTTATTGGTGGGTTTAGTTGCTTGTAACAGTCGGATTGCATGCCTCAGTTTGTTGCTGGCTGTGACCTGGAGGCCATCCTTAGCTCCCAGAGGCCACTGTCAGCTCTCTACTGCATGGGCTCCCCCAACACACCACTGACTTCCTTGCAGACTGCAAACCATGCAATCCTATGTATCCTAACCATGCAAGTGACATCCTGTCGCCCTCTCTGCTGATTAAAAGCAGGTCACAAGTCCTTCCCGTAGTCAGGGAAGGGGTCCACACAGAGTGTGAACACCTGGAGGAATAGACCTTGGAGGCCGCCATCTTGGTGTTTGTCGCCACACCGCACAAACTTCTGGAATAGTATTTATTTAGTGCTTTGATTTTACCTTTGTAAATATTTCCTACTTGAGGGTGCTTTGCTGATAATACCGTGCACTTACCGGCCATCTGCTGTCCTCCTTTAGTCTCTTCCATCATAGCAGCCAATACCATCTACCAAGCCTCCTATAATATGCCAGGCACTTCACTTGCTCTTTCTCTCATCACTACCTTAACTGGATGGCAGACTCATTCATTCATTCCTATTCATTTGTTCATTCAAGAATGTTCATTGAGGACCTGACATGCTCTGCTCTGTGCTCCAGGATATAGTGGTGAATGGACAGTAAGGCTCAAGCTTTCATCGGGCTCACAATTCAAAAGAGTATTATTCATGACCTTTGACCTGGGGGGAATCACAGTCTCTATCAGAGACATGAGAAAACTCACTCTCAGTGTGGTTCAGTCACCTACTTGGAGGCACGGAACTCCTTACTACTGGAGCCAGGAATGGGAGATCCTTTTGTCTGATTCCTAAACCTCTACCTCTGGCTACAGTGCCTTGCTCCCTTGGAGACTGTGAAAGCTCTTATAGCCCTCATATGTCCCCACTAAGACCTGGCTTAGTGTTTGCAAATTACCTTGAATATCAGAGTGCCTTTCAGAAATATCTATCAACTTAGAGTACGCCTAAGAAGATCACAGTTACAAGAAATCCCATTTCTTTGGGTAGTGTTGGCACCAAATAGCAATATTATATCTCAAAATT